GGGGACCTATCATGCTAAATGCACTTTTTGATTTCTTTTATACATAAAGATGTGTCCCCGGTGTTTTGGGGAACTCACGCAGCGTCAGAAAATAGACCCTCTCTCTTTTCCTACGTACCCAAATCTCTAAAAACGGGGCTACAACGAAGCTGATCCAGATTTGCGTCCGATATGACGTAATATCTGAAATGTGGACCCACGGCCCTATCAGAAAGTTGCCATCAGAAACAATGCCCGACTGTTTTGGACGTAATCTGGTCGGTGTTTACATTAGCATGGCTAACACTCAGAGCTAACCTGTACTGCAGAGCATGTGTGTGAAGAAGCAGGAAATAAAAAGGAACTCACCTTGTGGTATAACCGGCAAGAGAGAAAGCCTTTGAGCTCCATACTCTGAGACTGCCAAGGCACACAAATCCATGATATGGCGTTTCATCACAGCAGTATTTAGTTTAGACAGTAGCTGCCGGGTCCCGCATGAGCTCAGCCCCCTCCTTTTATTTTTTTTAATAATTATGTATAATTATTTTTATTTTTTTTAAAGCTTTATACATAAAATCAGCACTTTTGAAACAGGAAGTGAAATAGAGGGATATGAGGCATGGCTAGAATGGGTGATCTGTGTGGTATTTTGATAAAAACACTTCATAGACATTAGGGCTGATCGATTATGGCAAAAATCATAATCTTGATTATTTGGGTCGATAATTGATATCACGATTATTAAAAACGATTTACTTTGAAAACGTCCATTTATTTAAAAAAAAATTTGAACAGTATGTTTTCAACAGTTGATTACCCTGAACTTTAAGCATAATTCAACTGAATTTTTTTTTTTTTAAAACAATAAAAAATAAAATAAAAGAATTATCGTTTTATTTCGATTATGTTGTTTTCATAATCGCTGCAAGCCAAAATCGTAATTGCGATTAAAATACGATGAATTGAGCAGCCCTAATAGACATGTTTTTTATATATATTTATATATATGAGACCTATGCTATTGCCTAAAAATAGCATGATAGGTGACCTTTAAGAGCAATTTATTCTGTATTATCAGAAATGCTGTGGCATTCATGACATGGTGCTGATTTAAAAGTTACAGCCCAAGCTTCAGGGCAATGATTGGCAGTCTTAGCTGTGCAAGCATAAAAACACACAAACTGCATCAGTGCCAAGAGTGTGAAGGAAATTCTATTAATCTGTTTCTACAAATCCTTGAATTAAGTATACTCATGTTTTGATTTGCAAGACGAGTTTGACTGGTTTGATGATCATGCAGATGTAAAGTAGTATTTGAGCTCCATCTAGAAACATGCTGATGAATCTCACACGGTTCTCTATATTCATTTTCTTCCGAACCACAAACATTGACTTTATTAACATTAATGAATGGAAGGCTAAGTTGTGAATAATATCAAAGTTGTTAAAATGAAGGGCTGACTTACTGCTGACCTGGTCCAAATGGAAACTGACTAACCTAATATTAATAATAATTTCTTGATAGAAGTTGATATGCTCTACTTGGACTAGGCAAATACATCTGAACATCTGAGGGGAACCCATATAAAACATACTACACACCTACTATATTACTACATACATATACTACATAAGCCTTGCTGCTAAGGTCCTGCTAATGACCCAGAGCACAGCATTTTTAAACCCACAGGACATGACCAATTCCTCCCCAGAAGGCAGTGTTTTCCTTGTTATTCCCACCCACTATTTGAAGGCATACAGAAGGGACAAAGCCTTCACCAACACCCACACACTTCCAGCCAACATCATGCTAATAACACTGTTGTTATCCAGTTCTGTGTTTAGTCCAGAAAAAAAACTGAAGCTGATGCTGTTCGGAAGTGTGAAACCCACGACTCTCCGAGGATTTTACCGAGAAAGACCCAGCTGGCAGAGGTGTTGAGAAAAAGCTAATTAAGAAGCTAGCTTGAATCGTCACATGACAATATTGCAGATAATAATGAAAGAGGCCCTCTTGGACCCGAAGGGTCCTAAACCACAACATCTGCAAGCAACAGTGTCTGAGGGCTTCTTAAGATTTAATAAACTATGAATGTTTAATATCCATGTAACGGGAAGAAACTCAGCTAACTGATGACACAAGGCTATCGCTGAGCCTCTGAATTAGCCCTGTGCCAACAAATCTTAACGCCGTTAGCACAGAACTCTAGCTATACTATAATATACTTATTGGATCTGCACAAACAAGCTTAGATAACATCCTGAGGGTCCACAGATTATAGAAGTATAAGGATCATCTCTGAGCGATCATAACTTGTGACAGGGGAAGCAAATACAGACAACACACGAGTAGCTTTAGGTAGCAAAACACGGAGATATGCTCACTTTAGCTGTTATTCTGACCAAAAGTCGTGTTCAATGGTATTAAAACGAGAAAACACGCGGCTGGAGGTTAATCCATAGGTTAATCCAATGTGTCTGTCACTTTGAAAAAATTATTGATAATCCACAATTCAATTTTTATGCAAAAATCGGAGAATAAAAATTAGCTGCTAATGGTAGCCACCAGAGTGTGTTGCAGCTCCGGTTTTGGCTACGCGTCACTCTCACTCCTTATTTGGTAACCTGTGTGTGTATGTGGAACTTTCCCTCGATTCTATTGGCTCTAACGGTTAAAAAGAGATGTCAATCATCAAAATCGACCAATGGGTTCCAGAGAAATGGCAAAAACGCCCATTTCCACCCAAATGGCCCCAGAGGTGAAGTTTTTTTTGCTAAACCTCTTTAAAAAGGTCAAATGTTTTGCATCAATCTTGATACAGGGTACTTATTATATGTTGTACTTTGGATTCCTAAAGCTTTTAGTCTACTAACCCATCATCCAAAGTAAAAAAATATTTTTGGACGGACACTGTAATTTACAGTTTTTTTACTATGTTCAATCTGAATTTTCTTTTCTTAAGATTCTGACCCTTCTACATCCAACTCACTGGTTTATCATTACTTTGAGAAAAAAGATGATTAATTTTCCCCTTTTAGAAGTGTAGTTATGGTCATTTGTTCTGGAAATGTCCTTTTCGAGCCTGAGACATGAAAAACAGGCTTGGGGTCTAACAGGTTGAGGCTTCACAGTGTTAACCAAATCGTGAGATACCAAAAGATTCACACCTCTAGTAGTGGCCCATGTTGACAGCTACTCCTTAAGTCATTTAACTACAATAGTTTGTCATTCTGTTTTTATAAGAATGATAAGAAGTGCCTTATCATGCAGACAGGAACTTAACGCTGAGATTCTCGTGGGTGGACTAAGGTTAAGCATTTGGTTTAATTTGAGAGCCCAGGCTCCGAGGGGGATGAAATGCAGTGCAGCTTGAAACCAGGGCTGTGAATCAGCTTGATTTATTGTTTAGGGGAAAAAACAGCCAGAGCTTATCTGACTACTTGTCTGATGCATTTCTCACACTCATTTGGCTATTTGGGCCCTATTGTACTTCTATGGACACATGTTACATCTTCACTCCATCACGGTTTTTAAGTCACCAGAGCTAAGGGTAAATATTTCATAGGATTATGAATATATAGTATTCAATAAAAGGTGTTTTATCTCCCACAGGTGCCCCAGGATGAATGGGCTGGATACCCAGGGGATGATGAGATCCCGTGTCGGCGGATGCGCAGCAGTAGTTATGTCAAAGCTATGGGAGAGGTGGAAGATGAAAGTGGGGATTCTGACACCAGCCCTAAGACCTCCCCACAGAAAGCCATTCGGCCAGATGCTCTCGTCCTCAAATCAGCCATGCAGAGACCCCATCTAGACTCCCAAAGGTAGGCCTGGCTGCATAGCCCAATATGTCCACACTAAAGCTCAGTGTATTGTAACTCTTTTATTTTTAAACCAATTTTAGAAGGATCCTTTCTCCTTATTTTCTTTGAAAGTATATTGTTATCAATGGAAATGGAGATATTGGTGGTTGCTTTATGAGTACAATGAACAGCTTTTTATGATGTTATTAATGATTGCATGGGGTGATCAGATTGGTTTTCAGTGCGTCTTCAATGAGTTGTAGGAGTCAGATATTGGAAGGTTGTCTACAGTGACACAGTTAGCTGCAAAATGGTTCAGAGACTGAGGTCAGTAGAAATGGATAAGGTTAAGCTTCACGGTGTAACACATTTATAAATGCACACAAACAATTATGGTCGTAGAAATTACGTGTTGGTGTAGGTGCTGGTTTTGTCAAGCTTTACCAATGCTACAAAAATATCTTTGATCAGCACACTTAATCAAAGTGAGGAATTATAGTTCGTCAGTACCTGGGTTTTCTCTGCCATTTTACTGCTACGGTGCGCTAAAAACAAAGTGGAGAGCATCTGGACAAAGTTAACAAATGTTCTCAAGGGAGGACCCCAAAGCCCCACCCCAACAGTACCCTGCGTACTGCAACTATTTCACACACTTCTACAGCTCTCACACCACATGGAATAATTCATGCTTTGGCAATATGAATTTGAGAGAAAATCGAGCATGTAGAACTTATATGCACTTCAACTTCTAACTACATGATGTTCCTGAAACAAACCTCAGTGGTAAAAACACATTCAGTGTTTAGTAGATGTGTTCAAAGCGAGAGCATTTGGGTTTCTAAATAATTTTTACAAAGTTTGTAAAATGTCTAGACTTAAATATTTTCTTTATAAACCTACTTCAAATGTTTAAGCCTTTTTGTTTGACTAAATCTGACCCCTCTAACAATGACTCACTACTATGTCTAGAGGCTTTCCATGTAAAGCTGTCGTTTGCTGATGCAGCTCAGCTGAGATTTGAAGAGGTTTTAAATTATTTCATGATTCGGAGTGAAGTTGCTTGGCAACAAGGAAGTAGAGCTTTGGTTATCATTTCTTACATCATTTTATGCCAGCCAGCTTAGATCACTTGCTATTTAGAGCTGGGCTGTACTTACTTGTTTTATAACCCCTTCACCAAGTTGCTCTTGAGCATTATTGGCAAAGTATTCGATTGGCAAATGTTTCATGAGATGGGGTAAAGTAGTACTCGGCTGAATGCTGCAGTTACAAATGGGTTTTGTTTGCGTGACCTTTTTCATCTGCTAGTTTCAATATTTGTCCAACATCTTACAAAGGCAATGTTCCTCATTTTTATCACAGTGTTGTGTACAAACCTGTAGCAAAACAGTCAAGTTTACACAACGTCAGACTCAAGAGAGCAGGATTAAATGTACCTGGGCTTAGTAGGTGGGGGGAAATCATATTCACACAGAAGGATATCAATTAAAGTTACTGATTGAAATGGTAAGGCACCCTGTATGAGGGTAGGAGAGATGTGTTCGATTGGTAGTAAAGCAAAGAGTTGAGTATATTTCTGATTCCTTGAAATAGTTCTGCAATGAAAATAGACAATCATGGAAAAAAAGTAGGCCTATTTGTAGTGGTACATCTTTCTACTCCACTGCAGGTCAGCAAAGATGTTCAGGTGGTGTTTAGTTGCCCTTTGATTATTTCCTGACATGCATTTCCTCTTTGGTGACATGCATCTTTTGAAGATGGAAATCCAGGAAAAGAATAAACTTGTGACCCCCCGGGGGGCCGCCAGGGGGAAAGAGGGGGGGGGTCGCNTATGTTTACTGTTGATATTACTGTTTAATATTGTGTTAAGAATGTTTATAACAGAAGACACAATTAATGTAATGAATGACGAACAAAAGATAAATACAAAACATGTTTTGAAGAATAACTGATTATTAATTATTAATACAAATACATATTAAGAAAATGTATTAAGCTGTATGATTAATTTGTCATATTTTCCATCATAATGTACTCATCATTTAAAAAAATAATTGCAACAGGGGGGTCCCCGCCAGACGACAATGCTATATGGGGGTCCTTGGCATGGCAACGTTTGGGAACCCCTGACCTAGAGTATGCTATTGCTTCACCTTCACATTCCCACTATGCTTACTGTTGCTCAGTTTGCTTTGACTAACTTTTGGCTTTTTGTTCTCGGCGATGTGTTTTTATTCAGGCAGTGTGGCTTTCAGATAAAGCACAATTTGGTGAAGCTGGGGAGGCGTCATGCACCTCTCCTCCCTAGCGCCACTCAGTGCTATTTCTGTTAGGATCATCGCAGGGGGCTTTTGATCACTTCAGCTTTGGTTCACAAACAAATCAGCCTCCTTGTTTTTCGGCTTCTGAAGTCTGACAAACTGGTATTATTGCAGCTCCAAGTCCTCATTTGTTTCTTTTGAGAACCAGAGAAAAACCATACATTTAAATTACAGTGTAGTGATAGAAGTCTGTTTTTCATAGGACACTAAACTACAGCTGAAAAGTCAGTAAAAATAGAACTAGATATGATGGCTGATTCATTTTGGATAAAAAAGAAGAGTAGATTAGATACATTCTAGCCAATAGATTTGTGAATTATATAATTATCCAGCAATGTTCCATGTCTGGATATTGAACTGTGCACTCATATCCATCCCTACCCCCTGTCCTTGTTCAGCCAGGGCTACCACTTGCAAACAAGAGAAATGCGACCCCACCCTAGTGTCACGCTGGACCCTGCCTCCTTTCACCCCCCACCCTACCGCTCTCGCAACCAGAGCTACATGCGCGCCGTCAGCACCCTCAGTCAGGCTAGCTGCGTCAGCCAGGTGAGTCTTGCACACATACATGGCACAGAGGCAACACCTGGAGACACTAATGACAGCTTTTTTTATGTTGTATTGTATGTAGTAGCTTTGCATAGAGGACTCCAGACAAATCCAGGCGTCCATATTGGAGGTCCACAGCTGATTAGTAGACAAGCTATGTCTGACTCAACTGAAGTCTGATGGCTTCATTAATGTGCTGTTGTGGACTTGAAATTGATAATTTAACGGATAGTCTACCTCTGGATAAGCTTCAGACACATTATTCTGTTGTTAACGGTTAGTTTCTTTAAGTGTTTCGTGCTAAAGAACCGTGAAATTGTACATACTTGAGAAAAAAAGATATTAGTTTCACATCTAATAGCCTTTATCCTGATTTGGCCCATGAAGATCTGGAAGAGAGCACTTATAAACAATTCATCACTCTACTGCTGCTGTGCCAAAAGCAGCAGTTTGTTTTGATTAACGGAGCTTATTTCTCTACTACTAATGTTAGGAATTGGATACTAGGATTAGAGACACAGTAACTTCCTGTTTAACCACACGCAGCAACCTTTTCAGCTATTACCTTTTCATTCCCTGCTATAAATTTAAACAGTTGGAACAATTGTGCATGTCCACTTTGGACCTCCATGGTCGCAAAAGAGGTGGTTGCAATGACGATTTGTGACACAGCAAGACAACTTCCATAAGGAGAAGGAGTAACAAGAGGAGGAGAGGTTTTGTCCAAAAGAATGGTTGTACAATGCTTACTCCTGTTGGTGCTAAACAAAATAATAGTTATTCAATTATAGGGAAACCTAGCTCCTAAGTATTTATTAAACGGAAAATACATGATTATGTAGACAGAGGACAGGATGGACAGAAATTGTGTTGCATGTTCTTAAGAAGAATACATGAATTTAATCTTGTGTCAGTTTTAAGAAATGTGGAGATTTGTAAGAGACTTGCTAGAGCTAGTGTTTCTTCTATTTATCATTAAGTAATACAGTATACAGTACAGTCAATCTTAGTCATGGGATAGGTGGTGAATGCAATGTTTTACAACACAAACTGAAAATGTTTCTGATTGTTTTCTGTTGTCATCTGCCTTTTTTCCATTTGATCTTGACATTTATTCAGTTTAAGGTCGGAATGACAGTGGCATTTCCATACGCTAACACTCCTTCATATTTGCTGTGCAAAGGGGAAGAATCAAAGTGAGAAAGAGAAAGGACGAGGAAAAATTAAGGACTGCTATTCCTGTTTTTGTCTCTCAGGTGAGTGAGACTGAGATCAATGGCCAGTTTGAGTCAGTTTGCGAGTCCGTTTTTAGTGAAGTAGAATCCCAGGCCATGGAAGCCTTGGACCTGCCTGGTTCGTTCCGCACTCGAAGCCACAGTTACCTCCGTGCAATTCAGGCTGGTTATTCCCAAGATGACGACTGCTTGCCTTCAATGACATCCTCCACTGTCACTTCAACTCTCAGATCCACAACAGGTAAAACAATCCCCCCCCTAAATGAGAGAGGGCTTAGACTACACATCCTCATATTCCTATACATGCGCAAACTTGACATACCTACATATGTACAGTGGGGAACCCTTGAGCTTCAGAGATGCCAGATGAATGATCCCAGTTATTTTCTTTGGAAGCTATGGTGTGCTTGTGTTTGTGTTTGCCTCTGCATACTCCCGATTGTTCAGATGGATTTGCTTGTGTGTTACTTTGCACGATTCACGCATCATTAACCAAGCTTCTGGTTAGTCACTTGTGGTTTTGCCAAGCTGTAGACTCAGAAAAAGGGTGGGAGGGTCGCATAAAAACACTGCGCAACACACGCTCACAGTACACAATGCTACAGCACAGCCACATTACATGGCATGCCTAAGAGGAACAGATCCTACCCTAAGCATGTTAAACTGTGGTGTTATATATGTGTTGTGCGAGAAGTGTTAATTACTTAGGGAGGGATAACAACCGAAACAGGCCAAGGGTAGGGGAGCGGTGAGTTGTTGACATATTGGTGTTGAGAGTATACACTGGACAAGCTCTCCGCCTGTCCTCCCCCTGCTCTGTTGCACTTACACATGCTTTGTGACTGACCTGGCCATTGACATACTCGAATTTAAAAAACAATCTTTTAACCATTTAAAAGGTAAGTCAATAACCTCTAGATTAGAACACGTGTGCACACAGACACACACACACACACACACAAGGAAAACAGACATGCTGGTTGCACAAAGGAACCGTATACTGATGGCATATTCGAGTTTGAGGTATACAACCTTTGATTATTTGCAGTATTGTTGTATGGTGTTGCATGAAACTCAAGCCTCTAATCAGCAATCTTAGTCTAAATAACTCATAAATTGTAAGTTCGTTACATTACAAGTTTCCATCTTAGAAAACTTCATTTGAATGGTCATTTTTTTTGCTTTAACTTCAATATGAAAATGGACCAATACTCAACATGTTCTGAAATGAGCACATTGTGTTTATGGACCTACATATTTATTGGTCCTAAATGCTGTTTTTAATACAACTTTGCAAGGATTCAAGGTTTTGTGCGACACAGTGCGAGCAATATACAATTAGCCCAACAGGTTCTTTGTGCAAACAGTCTTTGCAGAAACTCCCTCACTAAGTGCATTTGGTGTTTACCTGCAAGAGTAAAGCTATGAACCCTATTGAAACATTTTTCTTCAATTACCTGCATTTTTAAATATTATGACCTGGATTTGATTGTTTTTGTACAATTTCCTGTCAATTTAACATTGGAGACATTTGAACTTTTACTCATATTGTGGGTTTGTTTTCTTGTGCAATCTGGACTTTTGTTTTTGGAATCCTTTCATCTTCAATTGGGTTTCCATCAACGATTTCTTCGATGTGACAGAAGTACTGAAGATAAAGGAGTGTTCTCCAATCCCACCGTCTTATTTGCTGAACTCTATTCATTTAACTCTCTGCTCCAATTCTGTTAGCTCCATGTGGACTAAAACAATCAGTTGACTGTACAATATGTTGTGAAGATGTATTTTGAAGATTGGCATAATGCATCAATTATAATATGTCAGATAAATGTATAGCGACCCAGAGGAAGTGTTCCCTGAATAGTGATTAATTATATACAGTACTGTCACCTCCCAGTAAAAGCTATACAGTAAATGATGGTGTACTCTTTGCACTCTTCTGGGGAAATAGTGGTAATGAATAAAGTAACACAACAGGCTACATTGGCTAAGACACACATTGATTCCTGGAATCATGTTTTTAATGTTAGTGCTAGTTTAAAATTCTATTGTAAGTGGCTTATGAACCGAACCCCGTGTGAGGCTAGTGGGCCCCTAAGTGGGTAAGGGCCCCCATGATGCTCCATAGGGCAGACGAGCAGCAAACCCCTCTCCATTTGACCATCCATCTCTTGAAGGATAACCAGGTGGAATGAACAACTGGAGGCATCAGTGATGAGTGTTGCAGGTATTTTAATGTTGACACGCATACATATATCTATGTATATGTGTGTTTTTGCACTGCCTTCTCATTAAATTATAGAAACATAGAGTTCAGAAATATATAGTTGGTAGAAATACCTCATATTATCCAACGTATCAAACACGGATCTAAACAACTCATAAAACCTCTTAAAACATTGATAGCTCTAAATATTTATTAGTGATTAATTTGACGCTGGTTTTGTGAGTTGTTTACCATGTCTCTATTTTAAGTGTGCTTACACCACATTGTAAGTGTAAATGTATGTACAGTACCTCCTGAATTTTCAGAACGTTTTTTTATATGGCAAACATAAAATAGCACTGAATGTAATCGTATTGCCACGGTCTCCAATTACTTGTGAGATCAGCATGTGCCTGCTGTAAATGTGTCAACTTTTTATTTCCATGAAATTCTGACTTCTTTAAAAAAAAAAAAAAAAGCCCCACGTGGCAGTCTAAGCTTTAGCATTGAGTCTGTCAGCTCTCTTTGACTGTGGGATTGCAGCCTCTCCCTGGTGCAGCCCTGAAGGGGGGAGTGACCCCTCCCCTCACCGGGTTACTTACTTCACATTTTCTAATCAACCATCTTGGACCTGATATGTTCAATAGGGTTCATATCTGCTTCTTGACCCAGTGGGTTGTGATTCTTCTACTCCCTTTACATCTTTTCTTTTGCACAAAACGGCACAAAAATAAACATTTTGACATGAATTGACAAAAGGGTTCTCAGAAAATGGATTAATGATTTGATAATGATTTCTGTATTTCATGTTTAATTCCAGTCTTTGCTGTGCTGTGCAGTGAAAAGATGGAAAGAAGCCTTGAGATGACTGAGAAGGCAGTGTAAAAACATTGTGAAAAGCCTACAGTATGTGAGTTACATGACCATCATGTTTGTCTAAGTTAAGGAACTAAAGAACCCATTTGAAAAAGTTGCCCTATTACGTGGAGCTAACCTGATGTACTGATTACAAGCAACTTAAAAAAACTGAAAATAATTATAATTCTTACAAAGAGTGAGTGTGTTTACATGGACATGACTATCACTTGTTAATGCTTCTAATGGTTATGATTATATTCCAGGTTTGATTTGTACATGCGCTCATACCCCCATATACACAATATTATCCCGGTTAAACATTGTGGCGGTCTATTTGTGGATGCAAACCGTCCCACTGGACATTTACCTTACTGTGATTTCTTCTCTCTCTCTCGACCAAATATTTGAGCTACAATACTCTTACAACACTGTCTTCCACTTGCCCGGAGTTAGCATGTCACCGTCACCAGAGATGGGGTCGTTACTAAAAAAAAATGTAATATATTACATATTACTTTTAAAAAAAAAGTAATATATTACACTACTTCGTTACTCTCTACATAAATTAACTCGTTACTTTACTCGCCGAGCACGTACGAACTGCGCATGCGTGAGTGGCAATAACTCTCCTTACCAGCAGGCGGCGGTAGTGTATATTCGTCATTCAAAACAGGCAACAACCGGAAGACAGAGAAGAAGAACAGACTACATGATATAAAAAACAACAAATAGCGTCGTGTGCGTTAGCTTCACCCTTGGCATGTGTGTTTCTTTGTCGAGGAGGGGAGTTAGAGAAATGAGAAAGGGCCGTGGTGTTTACAGCAGTGGATAACAGCTTCTGGCCTGGACACAGTTTGCACCTCACCGTCACATTCCTGTCTATTATTCGGACAAACTCAAAATAATGGGCATACCGCTCCACCCCTCGAAAGTTATCGCTGACTCAGCCATGTTTATGCAGCACTGCACGTGGAGATGTGCAAGTTGCGCAGATTACGTACATATAAACCTGCGGCGGAAACCCCTCTTGTCTGTCAGTGTGATTATGACTGATTTTAGTAAGTAACGCGTGTCGGGGCAATGTTAGTAACTGTAGTGTGATTACTGAATTATAAAAGTAGCGCGTTGCACTACTCTGTTACCGACAAAAGTAATAGTATTACAGTAACGCGTTACACCCAACTCTGACCGTCACTATATATAGCAATGGATGAAGAGCTCAGAGCTGCAAGCCACTTACAAGGGGCCTTTCTAAGCCTACCAAGGAAAGGTACCTGAGGGGGCCAGCTAGCACCAGGGAGAGGATCCTCCCAAACTGCAGAGGCAGGATGGCTCCCCAAAAGTGAAGCCAAAACAGCCGGCTGGTGGCTAACTACCAGTTTAGGAAGCAATAGATAGGATATGTGATGGATCCTGAATAAGATGAATGCTTGATTGATTATGTGGCCCTTTCAGGCTGGCACCATGTTTAGTGTTATAAAGCTATGACTCTTTCAGAAAATTCAAGCTAGCATATTCAGGTTTCACAAAAGGAGATTAGGGCAGGTTTCTAAAAACAGGATCTGGCGTTTACACGGTCAAACACATACATGAGACACTTCAACAACCTGATCATGAACGTGATACTGTCCATGCAAACAAACTCATTGATCAAACATGGACAGATAATGTCTTGACCTTTGAAATGTATGATTTTATGACACTACTTAGTTACTTCTTGGTGCAGACAAAGCAGCATCTAAACAGCACACCAGTCAGTGGTTGGAGCTAATCCAAGACACTTAAATCTTTAGCGCCAAACAGAAAATAATTGGGTCCGATCTTGTATGTCTTTGTGATTACCTACCACTCACATACTGTATGTTTTCCATAGATATATGTCTATTTTCTAGTTAAGAATCCAAATCAAATCACACTCCAGCTGTTCCTTTCACTTTGAATGTCCTTCTGTTTGCATATTCAAATTTTTCTTACAGAGGGATATGATGTTTTGGATGGGACCTCTTTACTAAATGAAGACATGATAGAGGATGATGACGGTGCTAGCTCCTCTGCCTATGTGGAGCTGGAGAGGCTTGAGAGAGAGACTGCTGCTGCTCGCAGCCATCACAGTACTAGCTCGACTGTTACAGCCATCTCGGTCCCACCGACATCCCCGCCGTCATACAGGATCCCTTCTGTCTCTCCCGTGTCCTCCGAGCCTCCGCTCCCTCAGGCCCTACAGGCCTTTAAAGAGTCTGCTAACATGGTTGCTGCCTTCAATTTGCAGTGGAAGGATGAAATATCAGCAATGCGCTATGAACTCGCAGAGCTGCGTAGAGATGTTTGTGGGGAATTGAAGACTTTCAACAGTAACTTCTTCAACTTTACTCAGTGCTACAACATGTGGACTTTGTGCCGGGAGCCGTGCAGTGACAGCACCACCCAAACGGACGACAGAGTGTCTGTAGGAATTCAAGCAGGTTCAAGTTGGTCCATTCGACAGAATAAAGAGGACAAGTCGGTGATGTGCCAACCAGAGCCAGCACCCTTCAGCATTATGGACTTGATGGATCCACCCCGAATTGAGATTATAGAGGGAACCCCTGAGAGCACGCCAGAGGGTTCAGGCAGCCCGGCCAGCCCGATTCCAATTGAGGATTTCCCATGGGAGATCACCAAAAAGCATAAGGTCCAAAAGCAGCCAGACACATTTGGCCACACAGGTGGTCACAGAAGCGCCAGTCTAGAACTGTGGAGCAGGAAGTACACCAGTGGGCCCATGTCATATCTGTCTATGTCATTCTAATCATTCCCATTCTAAGCATACTGTAAAATGAGATGAAGAAGCCAAGGTAAACACATTTACAGAGAAAGACAGGGCAGAGGAGTTGTTGGATGTCCCTTTACTCTATGCAGACACAGTCTGTCATCTCTTGAACAGGTTACAATGTTGTTCAAACAATCTTTTAATAAGTGTCTTGGTTAGCCATGGAATAAAAGAGAATGAATATGTTTTACACCAGAATGAAGTGACATAAGAATGTGAGAGAGCATGTGGCTGATGTTTAGATCCTCAAGTGCCAACAAGTGCAGCATCCTCTTTGCTCCGTCGTCATAAATACCCAACCTTGAGATAAAAAGATAGTTCAAGTAAATACGATTGGAAATATAAGGGTAACTTAATGATAAAGTCAATAATCAGCCATTGTGAGGTGAGGCATAAGTTGTTTCTGCAAGTGAATAGTTCATGTTCATTCCAGTTTCTCTTCCTGTAGAAACATTCTCTTAAGCACCTGAGTATACTGAAAGAATACTGTGAATACCTTTATAAACCCTAGTTTTTTAATGAATGCATCAAAGATGAATCGACTATTTAAGAATATATTGATATATCATTTAATTTCTAGTTATTCCAATAAAAGCATTCCTTTCCCATGGCCTTCATCCGTTTTGTAGCCAGTTCCTTTGGAAATGGGCATTTAGAAAATGACTAACTCACAAAAGATTTCTCTACGGTGAACAAAGCGTAAAGAAGTAACTGTAATAACTTGATAAAAAGTAGATAGTTATGACAACAAACTATAATGAAATCTGTGAAAGCCTATTCCTTTGGAGTACTGTATGGATGACACTGTCTCGATGCTTAGTGGACTTTGTCCCTGGCTAATATTATTTACGATTATCATTTTTGACTGACTTTTAAGTCCAACAGCATGTGGAGAAGAAACAGCAAAGGAGATTTATGATAGAGAAGTATGAATGTATTGGCTTCAATTCATTCTCGCACAAACCACATTCATTTGAACACTGTATATGTATATAAATGTACCATTTTGTATATAAAGAAACTTATATTCAATACTCGTACTGTTTGCAGTTATAAACATACTCATTCCTGACAGCTCTGAGAGGGGTTATAGTTGTAACTGTGGTTCTAAACCAAACACAGCACTTTTCAAGGTCTGACTTCATGTATGCATCGTGTCCATTATCCAGCTGTTTGTGCATGTCATAAGGGAGTTGGGGGTTCATAGTTCACACCACTGTTTCTGCTATTGTTTTTCATGCAGTGGTGAGTGACTGGATGTTTATAACTGTTTGGTTAAGTATCTTACCTATCCATTCTTTGTTATTTTAGTCAAAGGTCTAACAAGTACTGAATTTGATAAAACAGTTTAGTAGATTTTGACAATATTCAACTTTTTTAAATGCCACATTTCTCTGGTAACGGTGGACTTTTGTCATGCTTGTGGTTCATCACTGCTGAAAAATAACAGAGAAACATTGTTCCCTATAAGAAGACAATCAGAGGGCCTCCACCTTTCCCCATGTCCCCAGAGGTGCAGTGTAGTACCAGTGAATGTACTAAAACCGCCTCACTAGTGATGGCTTCGCTGGGCTCCCGTCAAACCTTAATGGGTAGGAGCCCTCAATCATCTGCTATATTTGCCCGATTGCTCATTTTGTGTGTAACTCATAACATCTTCATTAGCCACTGCCATTCCCTTCAACCACTCATCTGGCCCATTGTCCCAACATGGCGTACCAAAGTTACTGTAATACTGAGGCTCGTGGAATGAGCCCAACAACAAAACATCTCCAAGCTTGACAGCGGTGATCAGGACGATCAGTGCATCAAAGGACCGTATGTATCAGACGACCCCTGACTGAAGTGTGAACCTTTCAAATTGACTTTTAATAAAGGAAAGGCATCATATCTCACTTTATGAAGAGTGGATCTTCTTCCCCCTTTGCATGACCAAGTACAATACAAGGAGAAAAAGTGGCATTTTTAAAAGACGATCTTTATACAAAGGTTGTACTGAAGGGAACATCTAATTATAGTTTAAGCCACGAAGGAGAAGACATTTCCTTTCAACTTATTTCAGTAGCCCCGCCCCACACACCTGTTACAGGTCCTCATTAAACCTGAGCTGAAATGCTATTTAAAGGATTAATTTGCCTTGATAATCTAATATGTGTTACAGAGTCAAACTGTATAATAGTAGGTTTTGCTGATAATTTTTCATCAAAAACTCGTTAGCTGGGAATTTGAAGTTTTGGTGCAACAAATAATAATAGGAATGGAATAACTTCAAATCTATTGTTGCCATTCTTCCCTATTTGCAATACAGAATAATTACTTCTAAAAGCGTACAGCCTATTTACTGTCGTTAATAACTAAAACAAATCCCATTCTGTGATTTGATCACAAAGGCTGGGATTGCCTAAATCATACATGATTTCAGTGAAAGGCATATAACCGTGACAACATTTAGCCTATAACCATTTTAATATATGATACATATTAAGTATATATATTTAAAAAAACATGTTTGGAAAGTATTCATATGTTTGCTTTTTGAATGATTAAGAGGGAATTGCAGTGAAATTCCTTTCTTTAGATCCTATGTTCCCATTGTTTGGGGAATGCAAACTAATTTAAAAGGTGCTGAAGATTGACCAATCATGATGTCTCCAATCTACATCCATTCATTCTATGCAAGTCCTTTGTTCTTTTTGGTATTTGACTTCATTTAAACGTTTGCAGTTATAGATATTAGGCGTTTATGTGAAGCCTTCATGCAAGCCATCGATGCCAGGAGTGGAATTATGTTTTCAGAAAATATTGATGGCTCTTTAAAAAAAAGAAATAAGATAATGTAGTTATTTTTGCATGAGCCAGGTGCGTCACTACAGGTTGTTTAGGTGTTTCCTGGCAGAGAGTGGTTTCATTCACATGTCTCCCATTGTATTGTATACTAAAATCAAAGAGTTTGTTGGTGAGATTCTTGAGATGACTGCTTAGTAGAAGCATCTGTGTGCTTTGTGGCATCATACCCAAAAGACATGATCAATCGAGTGCATCACACATATTCTATTTATTTAATGACTACAGCAACATTGGAAAAGCTTTGAATAATACAATTGGAAATGCTGTACAAATGCTTACCATTCTTCTAAATGTATATCCAACTGATCTGCAAACATGGTGACGTATTGATCCCAAGGAACTCACCTAGCATTCAATCTAGTGTGTCATCCCCATTTCATCATCTAGCCCAAAGAAGTTACCCTTCCCTTAAAAAAGTTGAAATGTAGCAAAAGAGATATTGATCTAAGTATTATAAAATAAAAATATATATATATAAATAAATGAAAGTTGTACATTTAACAAAAACTTAAGGGTATTATTTTTAACCATGCAACCATATTTTGTGTAATGAAATATATAAGTATTTGTAAGAAATTCTGAATCGTCTACCTGTTACATGTTACAGTGTGTAGTCAATTACCCCATGAGTTTTTGTTTACATTGTGTTGTCATCAATATCTTGATGCAACAACTGTGCCCCATCCAGCTATTAGGACAAAGGTTTTTGGATGGAATCTGATCTGAACTTGTAACACTGCTTGAATATAAATCCTTTTCTACCCCTATGTTCTCTTCCTGCATTTATTCAAGCTACTCTGTTTTGCTTCAATCATGTTTTCAGGGATCTCAGACTGCTTTGTTTAGTGAATCAGACTTTGTCAAAGTCATAAAGCACCTTTTGAAAAACATATTTTAGCTTGCATTTGTTAGCTTATGCTTATTTTGTTAAAAGAATGAAACCAGTATGTGATTTTCTTTCTTTGCTTATTGTGGTGTTTATTGTGAATTTTCATTTACAACTTTTATTGGCCTTATGTATTTTTCATAAATTGATAAAAAACAATGGATTAAAAATGCTTACGATGTTCATGGTAATTTAAATGGCAAAATGGGGGTCATAGCTTTACAATGGTGACAAAGATGGAACTCACTCATAGCATAACAAGTATTGTTTGTATCTACACACTTTACCACACCACGAATACACAGCATGGGCGAGGCACAGCGTCTTTCACATTGACCCTTTCAATATGCATTGCTTTCCTACTAAGCTATCATTTTTTGGTTTGTTTGTTTGTTTTCTTTTTCTTTTTTTCCCCCCATTTCAGGCATCCGTAGCTTAGCTGGGGGGCGTAGAGAGTACGGTAGGTCTGGTAGGGAACCGCTTTATTCTATATTTTTATATATGTTGTTAATACAGTTTTTCATACATTTTGTCTGAATCATTTTACACTAAAATAAGATATATCATAAATTGAAAATGCTGTCATACTCACTTACTATGTATAATACATTTAAGTGTTTTCATCTGTTTCCACATTGAATCCAGTGGAATTGTGAAGATTATATACTAGTGCTGGAGTTCAACAGGCCAAAAGAACAACTTTAAATAAGCACTTGGCTACAGTCCTACATGTCGGCCTTGTGTTAGCACACTGGCTTTTCTTGTAGAATATATTCTGCATTTGAGCAGAGAGACACAATAGTAACTGCTACATTTAAGATCTTCTTCTGCACAACTGGAAAATACTTTAACTGAGATGTGCTTGAAGCCTTTTACAAAAACCATGGAACTGATTTCTTTCTTTATTTTATTTGTTATGATTTGTATTAATATTCTGTTCAGATTCATCGGTGTAGGAAGCGTTTCACCCTCTTGCTTTAACCATTGTATACATTTTCTTTAAGCGTACAGCAAAGAATTAAATGAGCACACAGTATTGTGTCCTTGTTTTAGATGTCAGGCATGCAGCAAGGCAGGTTATGACCAACATAACAGCTTTGTTCTACAAACCAGCACAAATCAATAATGCTTTTAGATTCTACCGTCCATAAGGTTTTTTAAAACTCTAATTTTGGGCAGCCGCAGTTAAGATTGACTTAAAACCTTTTCAGATCTGTACTCAAGATATTGGCGGTTTCAATTCAGCGTATTCATCTAACATTAGTTTAAAAGGGAAGGATAGAAACAAGAAATACTCACTTTACCATTTTAAAAAGGTTGATGTGTGATGGTTACACATTGCACATTCTGAAAAACTGAAGTTATTGAAATGTTTGTTCACAATAATAACATATATTCAGCTGCCATTGCTTTACTTAAGCAAAACCAATTTAATAGCCCCACTAGCAGCAGAGGCCATGCATGGTGATATCCAATTGTCCGTTTGTTGTTTTATCTGTCCAACATTTTGGTTCAAAGCAATATATATTAAATGTATGGAGATTCAAACCCAGAATGACAAATCCCAGGGACCCCTAGTTTAACTTTAACAGCTCTTTAGATATTCTTCTAGGGCTTCATTCCAGACAAACATATCTTAGTAAACATAGCTATAGCTAGGGATTGAAAATAGCAATATGGTTAATGTTTGTTTTGTCAAACATTTGTGATTATAGGGTAAAATAAGGGATTTTTACATCTTCTAGGAGCTGCTAGCCGGTATTTTTAAGTTACTTATATTTTGAATATCTTTACATATCTGTAAATTGTGGAGAAGGTAAACTTTTTGTGTATTTATTTGGAGCATTATCTACTAACTCAGTACTGGGGCAAAGGCAATGAAAAGACAGTTTGTTAAAATGACACGAGCCATTGATTTGTATTGGTTTGTTGTGAAATATCATACATAAAAGGTTAATCCACCTTGCATCCATGGGGGCATCACCACTGTATGTATATATGTATGTGGCTATGAAAACATGCTTGTTTTATTGTACGGCTCTTGGAAAAATAAAAAAAGGGCTTCGCAAACCTACTTTTTTAAAAATTGTATAAATCCAGCCGAATCAGCTGGAATCACTGGCCAATACACACCCTTAGGTCCTGCTAGTTGTCCAATGTCAAATCATCCATCCATCCATTTATAGATCCATCCACTCTTCCAACTTTGATAACCGCCCATGCCATACCTAAGCAAAATCCTAGTCCTGAGCAAACATCTTCAGAAAGGATGTTCCCCTTACTCAAGGCTCTCTAATGCAAAGCACAGTGTTATTTTAGCTTAACGCAGTCATTTATTTTGCCTGTAGCAATCTTTTATGCAAACTAAAGAAATGGCAATTAGGTGAGCAGGAAACATTTTCACAAGAAAAGAACATTTTTGACTATTTCGGTAGAAGCACTTAATCCTGAGTCTATCACTGAATAGACATCGCAATATTAGCTTCACAGTAATGGCCTTATGAAAACAGCTTGAATAAGCTACATTTATGCAATTAGGTAAAATAGAAGCAATGCTTTCAACTTGTTAGTCCGTATACAGTGTGCACTCAGTGCTCATTATCCTGACAGCCAGTTGAACTAATTGTTAATTAGTGAGATACTAATTATTGTTACTAGATAAAGTTACAGGCAGTTATTTTTTAGGCTTTAGACTCTGGAATATAATTATTAATAAAAAGAAAATCTATAGTTACTCAGTTCCCATGATAAATACAACCCGGAGTCAAACAAAACAGTGTTATGAAAAGATCTGAGAGACTTCACGTCACTTTGTTACATCTTCAGCCCCCATGCTCATGTATGCAGCTCGTCAGTCATTGCACGTCATTAAGCCACGACCCACCCTGCCCTGAGTAAGAACAGCACCCCACCAGCCTCTTTGCCAGTCTGAATCCACAACTATGGCAAGAACGGCCTCTTGCACAAATGGAGGGAGTCGGACGGGGAGGAGACGCAGTCAGAACCGTTGCAACGATTTTCATGAAATTTAAGGCTTGACCACAAAAGGAGAAAAGTTGTGCGGGGGCCTGGTTGAAAAAGCACGAGAGAGAAGGTCTGTTTCATATTCTCTGCAACAAAACTATTATCGAATGATATTACGTCACACTTTACATTAAGTCCATGTAACTACCATTGTTTTTAAAGTGCCTACATTATCAATCTGGAATCTCAGCAGAATGTATTGTGTTTACATGACTAAGTGTGAACACAATAAGTGGTAATAATTGAATTTTCCAGTATTAAGCCGTTATTCTAATTATATTTAAAGTGCAGCCGTGTACTTTCACTTCATGTAAAGTATGGCTTAAGCTCATGCCATCAAATGCAATGGCATTTAAATGCAGTAACATGGGAGATTCAGTGTGAGATCTGAAAAATGGGAATGTGAAAATTGGAACTCCACACATGCTGAAAGAAAGCATGCAATGCTTTTCAATATATTATATTGTTGCATCACCAGAGGCAGTCAGGAAATTGATAAAAAGAAAAAAGAATGTTAGACTGTCCTGCTTTTCAGTTTAAAACATGTTCCTTGTCTGGGTCTCTCAGCACATGTTGTCTTTCATTTCCCTACTGTCTCAATATAATTTATGTTATAGATATACAAACAAGCCACATGACAAACATTTTACTATTCATGTTCTTGGCATTTTCCTACAGTTGTGAAGTAGGTAATTCAAATTATGATAGTCTGTGTCTCTTCTGCTTAGTCTTTGTTTGTTCATTACTTTTTTTAGCCTTAAAATCCCAAAAAAATGTTCTGTGGCTCTCTCAGGAGACACACTGTACTGAAAATATAATACTTAATACTTGAATATTTGTTATTTCTTTCAATAATATCCATGATTGGAAAATATTAATTGTCTTGCCATTTAAAAATGGTAATGGTGAATTGGGAAAATGTTAATTATTAATTGATTCAAACCTTAATTTAAAAAATGTTACTTGTTTTTCATATTTTTGTTTGAATGTCTGCTACATGTCTCATTTGTATAATATGATACGGTGTCACTGTCTGTTGTCAGAATCAGATGATGCATGTTATTTCATGCCTGATAAGTAAGGACTGATCTTTAGACAATAAGACATAGTCAACACATTAGTGTAATGCCATTGGCAAAGTTCCTAACAATCATGGCCAACATTGACTCTTTAAAAGGCTCTAGTCTTTTTGTTTGCTTAAGAAAATTAAGCTGATTTCCATTTTTCTTCAAATTCAGTCAATTTTGTATCATATTGTGCCACCTACTTAATTAATTGTAATGCAAAAATATGTTTATTGACAACATTAAGAGCTAAAACAAAAACAAAAGTACACACAAACCAAATCTGGACAAATACATATTCCAATGTCCATGACACCTAGGCCTTGGAGAATGTTTGCCAATAAGCATTGCCCACACCACAAAGTTGCGAGTTTTGTCAGTGCCATAAGAATGTCTGCATTTGAGATAGAAACACAGCAAATGCTGGATAATGAGTTTTACCCAGAAATCAGCATGTTTCCTTTTCCCCTTGAGGTGCTGAATCAGTAGGACTGTAAAGGTAACTAACTGAAATGAAATCATTTCATGCCAATTGGGCTTTCAATTGGGCTTTCTCTTAACATTTAGGAAAGAAAACATTGATGTAACCCAAAACACTTTAAATTAAGCATGTCTGTGTTTCTCTCTCTCTCCCTGCCTGTTACTGACTGCATTAACAACTGGATAGGTAAAAATAAAACATTGTGTAAATATTTTTCAATGAGCTTTAGACCTTTTTGGAGTGAGTTTTGGTAGGTATAGATATAGGATTTACTGTTGGTGTGCATTATAGTGTTTTATACCTGCATTGCTGTTGCTAACTGGTGTTGTCTGCTCCTCGTAGGGATTCAGTTTCGTCTACCTTCTTCCTGTAGTGTGGACCGCGCTCAGCCACCTCCAGGTACCACTCCATCTCTTCTGTTTTCTTCCATGCTAGCACGTTACTTTGCCAGTTGCAGTAATATATCCATGGGATTTGTTAGCGGGGCTCCTTCACTCCTGCAAATGAGAGAACAAGAAAGAGTGAGATAAGTTAACCTTCTTTCTTATGAATGGTGAAGAAACACAACTGTTACGTTTACTATGAACTAATAAGCTTTGTTTCAAGTTTGTATTGTAATACATCACTCTAATTAATTTGCATTCTGCAGGGTAGCTTGTGAATATTACTCCAGGTGTAACTAAAGTCTTATTTGAGTGTTGATTATATTTCACATCATCAATCCAAATCTGTAAAGTAACTACATTTATTAAATTAATGTAGTGTAGTAAAAGTACACTATTTACCTCTTATAGTAGGGCCTAGTGGAGTAGAAGGACACAGAAGCAAACAATTGAAATACTCAAGTAAAGTACAAGTGCCTCAAAATTGAACTTTGGTACAGTACTTGAGTGAATCTACTTAGTTGTGAAAATTAAACACTCAACATCTGTAAGCTTGAAAGTAAAAAGCTTGCGGAGGACGGCCGTTTACGTCACTTAACGTCCACTTGATTTTCAGTTAGCTGACGTTAAAAATGGCTACAAAAAAGTCAAGCTAGTAATCTTAAAACAAATCCAAACGACCATGCAAAGTTTAAAACCATGTCAGCAATATTTCTCGTTCCGTTCAAGGTTTACTTGAATCACAATTTTCTCCAATATTGCAACAACAAAAAAAGGCTTTAAAGCAGGCTAATTTATGGCTAAAACCTCTTTGTAGCCTAAGCAACACACGTAACGTCGCTAGCTCACCTGTGTGCGTAATTTAGTCGGTTTGACATATTTGACGTTGGTCGAACACTATATAATACGCAACGTAAACAACGTCAACAGGAAGTGTGTATTTAGCTCGCTCGATGCTAACTAATGATGCTAACAGAGAATAAGGGGATTCATCTGGTGAAATATCTTTGTATTGTTTTTATCTATTGTTATATAGAGTCATAAATACATCGTAGATTAATGTGCCGAGATGTCTTTCAAGGAATCCATTAATTTATGTTATATTTATTTATATATTTCTCTGAAACAAAAAAAAACAAAAAATGCATAATGAATAAATATATATATTTTGAATTGCCTGTGGGAAGATCCCAGATCTCCTTCAAATAACTTACTTTGTCCAACACACAGTCGAAAACAAATTGATAGCCTAGGGCCAAGGCTACAAGAGACAATTTTGATCCAATGTGACGTTGGTGCTGGTTCTTTAGTTACAATTTAAACAATTCATATATTATCAAAGTAGTCATCAATTAATTTCCTGAAGATCAGTCAGTTGATTAATTAGACTAACGGCCCGTCCACACGGCAGCGTGCGTTGAAGCTTCAACGCTTCTGCCCATACACTTTGAATGGGGTGACGTCACTTTTCGCCGAACTGCATTGTGGGAAGCGAAGCGGAGCTTTGCTGGCGTGGCTCGCTGCAAAAGTTGAGCAATGTTCAACTTTTGAAGCGTCGGCAGAAGCGTCAGCCAATCGAATCATATGCCAGATTGCCAGTACAAGCTCTAGCCAATCAAGCCGCTGCTTGTGTGTCAGGGGCGGGAGATTCATGTGATTGGTTGTTGGTCGAGTTTCAGACACGCCTGCCGGCAAGCTTCAACGCACTCTGCTGCAGAGCTTCAACGGAGATGCTTCCCATTCACTTTGAATAGGGTGACGTCAAGCTTTGGCGAACTGCATTGTGGTTCCGTCGCGTCGCTTTGCCTCCTTCGAAAGTTGAGAAAATTCAACTTTCCAAGCTTTGAAGGAAGCGCCAGCCAATCAAATCATATGCCAGTACAAGCGCTAGCCAATCAAACCGCGTGCTTCTGTGTCCGGGGCGGGAGATGAATGTGATTGGTTGTTGGTTGCGCCAGACACGGCCACCGGCAAGCTTCAACGCGACGTAACCGTGTGGACGATAGTCTGCTGCTCCCCAAACACATGATTTGATAAGCCTTGTGTGATGCTTGCTGTCGATTCACTGTGTTAATGAAGTTAGAAAAAAGCTATCAGAAAAATGTGATGGTCAGTGACGAGAGCAAGGAGATTAGATGAGTGTATTCATTGTTGGTCAGTATGTGTTTCGATGCAGAAGCATGTTCTTCGTCTAAGCTGAAGGGGGCCAATCATGTGTCTAAATGCATGTTATAAAGGCAGAAAATACAAGGGCCCCCACTGTTTACTTGCAATACTACAAAAGCTTTTAAGCAGAGCAGCAACACTATTTCATAACATGACATTCAGGTCCATTTAGTCTTGGCTGAACCTCCAGTGTGTGGGCCTGTTTACTGAACTGCCCAGTGCAGCAGTGCGAAACCAAACAATCACATTCAAACACAGCAGGGCACAACTGAGTACACAAAGGTGATGATGCTTCCCTGGACTATATTATCAAATATTTAACTAAATCTGTAGTGTTTTAAAAGATGTATTTGTTCTTCAGTTGTTGTTTTTCTTTTGTCTTTAGGTGCCCCAACTTAATGCTGAAAATGACTAAGCCTTTACCTTATGGGTCTATCATGTAGAGAGCATACAAGACAGGAGTTGTGACTGCATGGTTGCATTATTTAAGGATTTCCTTCCTCTTGTTAATCTGAAACACTTTGTGATTTCTTCAAAGTCAGGACAAAAGATCTCGAACATGTTAAGCAGCAGACTTTTTATTTCCATATTTTAAGGCTTGGGTTGTTTCCTTCCTGACTTTGAATGAGCTCCACCACCTTCAGTACAGTACGTAGCCTGGATTGAGTCACCGAGACATGCAAACCTCATTAGCTGTTATTCTACTAGTGTTAATGTAAACTGCTAATGTTTTTACTCTTTGGGGAAAACACAAGATTAGCAGATAGATTTACTTTTAGGTACAATAACTATTAGTTACTATTATTACTGCTTCATTAATGTTCAAGCATGATTGTAGCTATATAAGGGGTAGATTTCACTTTAATGACTTGGTAGACATCTTTTGTATATGACAGTCTATAGGAGGACATCTGGTGCCCAGTCAATGTTATTGCAAGGCATTTTGATTTTCTTTTTTTAGATTGAGCAGGGCAATTTTCTCAGAGTCTCATTGTGGGGTGATATGACAGCCCAGTAGGAGTCAGCTAATTAAATGCCTTCTCTAAACAATGTTACCCGTAGCAAATAATTGTGTAATTTTCCCCAGCACATTAACGCGTTTGCAAATGTCAATCCATTTAGGCAAGCATAAAGTAAATGAATGAACTGCTGGGGAAGTGTGTAGCGCTGATGATGGGCTAATTTAGAGTCTAATCATTTCCCTACTGAGGGACTACAGTCACATTCATTACTTCTGCAAAGGACTGTTGAATTGTTTGTCTGTTTGATCATCCTCATTAGTTCTAAACAAAATATTATCTTATGTACAGGCATGCTTTCAATTGGAAAAATGTAAAAATAGTGGAAAATAGGTTTCGTAGTCATGGTAGGTCAAATCTAAAGTGTTTAATAACATAACAACAATTGTAATTCATCACTTTCATTTGAATCAAAGGGGATAAACTCAACCATAAAAAATATAGGAATTAAAAAACTGACTATCTAAATAACAGATAAATTAAGAGTTCATCTTCAAATCAATGAATTTGGACTCACACACCATCTTAAGGGTGGTCCTACAAATGATGATAATGACAAAAGTTAAAATATTGAATTGAATGTGTTGTATTGGCAAATGAGAAGAAATGAGAAGAAAAACAGATACTGGATAAATGCTGAGGTTTATTATTATTATAGGTCACATTTATAATTCCTTTCTCATTCTAAGGTGTCTGTACCCTATTCCACTTTGAAAGTAATTCAAATGGGTAAAAATAGGACGTATTGAGTTGCGTACTGAATGAGTCACAGCGCTGTTTTTATTTTGGTATAACACCCACAGTGTCTTGCAGAACAGCAGCTCCTTTAAGTTGGAAGGAAGTCAAGTCTGTGACTAGATTTAGCTTAACCGAGTCCCCAGTGTTTTTTTATTTCTCCTTGCACTTAATTACCTGTAATCCAAAGTGGTTTATATGTGAATGTGTTTGGGTGTGTGGGGCTCGGTCTGCACCTGTCACTACGCAGCATGTTAGAGTAGGCAGAACAACAACAACAACCTTTCTGCATCAGGTATATTGTATGATGAATATTACAATTGAATAGCAATACATGAGGAAATGAATAGATGACATCACAAGGTAACGACTAAGTGAATTGAAGATATTCACTGTAGGGTTGAATAACGCTCAGGGGCTTTAATACGACTGTCTTTATAATTTGTATACATGTAAAGAAGGGTTTATTTGTGATTAAATCCCATTCAAGGTTACCATTCTAAAACAACTTTGTGAATGGGGTTTATTATCAATCTAGACTGGATTCATTGTTTATTTAGCCAAGTGTTTAAGATAGTGGCCATAGAAATGTCTTCCTTCTTTAGATATGAAATAAGTCCGACATGACTACGGCCATTTGCAGCTCACATCAAAACAATCTAGCTTTTTACTGAGCTGTTCTTTTAAGTCAGTGTTTTATCATAGCTTTGGAAAAAATATCCAGCAAGTGAAGATGGTACGTTTCCAGCTCTGCTGCGAGGTCCATCTGGATGGATTACCATCACATTCTCATTTGCACTTACAAGAGCAAATCTTTCCCATAATCCTTCATTGCACTTCCCTAATAAACACGATTACAAAGCTGCTGTTGCTTTCCACCTTACCGACATTTCCCCTGCTTTACTTGCTAAACTGCTACTCTCCCATAATGCCCTGACGCTCTTCTGTCACAGGCTGTGTGATACAGGTGAACAGCAGCACTTGGCCTTTGTCAGCTTCCTGCCACATTTTATTTTATCGTCTACCCTTGTCTTGCCTTGTCCTCGTCCTCTCATCCTGCTTGTGCTATGCAGCGGTATCATATCCTCCCAGTTACAAGAAGACTCCACCTCCTGTGCCCCCGCGCACCACCACCACCAAGCCTCTTATCTCTGTGACAGCCCAGAGCAGTACAGAGTCCACCCAAGATGCCTATCAGGAGGGCAGGCATCCACAGGGCGGTCTGTGGACCACGGACAGCCTCGGACGTCCCATCTACAGCTCCATGGGCTCCATGGACAGCCTGGACAGCACCAAGGCAGTCACCATGGCCATGGAGTCAGCAGCAGGCAAGAGGCATGCATCTTTGGGCAGCCACACTTCCGTCCAGACATGCGATAAAGCAGTGCTGGTGTCCAAGGCTGAGGAGTACCTCAAAACCCCACGCTCATCTATCGGGATACAGGTGAGAACAGATCTGACAATGGCCATCGTTTCACTGATGTGTGAATATCTCTCTGCTAATAACACCAATCTCATCTGTCTTCTTCTATCTAGCCCTGGCGGAAAGGATAATTCCCCTTTCCTCAGTTTAATATTCATTAGATAATAATATGCATGAGAGCTGTCCTTTAAAATCCAGTGGAACTATCTCTCAGAGTTCTCAGTAAAATCACTTTTAAATCATTCAAATACACTTTATGATAGCCAAAGAACACACCACTTTTAAATTGATTTAGGTAGTTGTTTCAATAACTTGCACCATTGTCCAATTTCATGGTAAGAAGACTAGGTTTCTTTATGGAAGATTTTACCTATATTCAAATATCCCAGGAGACTATGAAATCTTGAACTGGCAAAAAACTACAGTGCACATTTGCAAATTGGTGAATCTTGTCTTTTTGAGAGGGTAATACAAATTCCCAAATGTACCAATTTGTGTGAAGCACTATACAAGGTTTTAAAGGCTTCCTGACCTTTACAAGTGTCTGTATTACGTGACATGGAGTGATTAAGAATAAAAGGAGGATCTCTCTAAAAAATATTTCATTACAGATGGAGACTTGGATCTTCTCTAATAATAAACAAATCTAGCATACATAAAGTCAATGGTAGCCATGTGCATCTGTGCTTTGTGGCGTCTGTTTATTTCAGTTAATAATAATAATGATGAGTACGTAAGCTCACGTAAGTAGTAGTAAGCATTTGCTTCCTCCTGCTCCCTTTCGGACACTTATCATTATTATGAATAGTTTTTTGTTGAATATATAACTATTATTATGAATATTGATAAATACTGTATTCTAACAATACGGTATTCTGTTTCACATTTATTATTTTGTTTTTTTAAATCTGTTCGAAAAAAAGATGAAAATGAAAATGAAATGATGGTTGGATTGTTTTCCATCATCTGTATTTACCAGGTGGAAACTGCGACGGACTCTGAGACTGAAAGTAAAGGCCTTCCTCAGTTCCATTCGATAGGGATCCAGGTGGAGGATCACAAACGGTATGCATTTCAGAGTAAAGAAACACAATGTCCATTGTCTAAGCGTAATGAAGTTGCATTGTCTCTTTAACTTTCGTAGGCAAGGGAGGTTCAAGCGCTCCAACAGTGTGACCACTGCAGTACAAGCTGACATGGAGTTGGAGGGCTTTCCCTCCATGGAGGACAAGGGCCTGCAGTTCGGTGGAGGCTTCGGTCGCCACTCTGAGCCCAGCACGCCCACGCAGTACGGGGCTATCCGCACGGTGCGCACACAGGGCCTGTTCAGCTACAGGGAGGACTACCGGCCCTCCAGCGGGCACTCCAGCCCGCAGCCTGAACCCTGGCTGGTCCAACCCAGTCTGGAGAGCACCGAGACGGGCCGGGTGTCCCCCCTCCGCAGGGACGGCAGCTGGTTCATGCAGCTCCTTCACAATGAAACCAAGCGGCTGGAGGGATGGTGCAAAGAGATGGAGAGGGAAGCAGAGGAGCACGACCTGACGGAGGAGAGTGAGTGTCCCGACTCTATTCTTGGTAAAGCAGGGGCTGCTTTTCTGTTGTCTGAGGTCAATGCTTTCATTATATTTGCAAAAAAGTGCATGTTGACATTGACAATGTATCGTGATAGGCGTGTTTTGAACAGATTGGATCCTTGTGAATGACTGAAAGACATGTTTCCCTTTGCCAAGCTGTTAGTATTAAACCAGAATCCCTTTTTTTCTCTGTCTCTCTCTTACTATTTCTGCAAGTCCTAGGAAAAATCCGGAGTGCGGTGGGAAGTGCTCAGCTACTAATGTCTCAAAAGTTTCAGCAGTTTTACTGGCTATGTCAGCAGAATCTGGTGAGTATATGTTTGTGAACAAGAACACTGTATCAACCTACATGCTCTTAATGTGTCACACAGAAAACGTTCCTCTTTCTCAAAGCTGTGAGAAGGTGCTCAGCCTGAAGCTGCATTTGTTCGCCTTCCAAAAATAGACCAAAGGGATCAATAGTGAAGCAGTCCTTCTGCTGCTATTGACCCCACAGTAAACGAAAGGGGAATTCCAATAGGAAGCAGCACCTGTGTCGAGGCCATCCATTAGGCACGGAGGCAGCCGTTTGAATGCGACTCCAGAATTTGAATAATGGACTGCCACACTGTCTCACTGTTTAGTCCTCATGTCACGTCGACTGGAAACTCATACCTTTTCTAATATGAACTATCCACAGAGTGGGCATATATCAGAGACTGATAGTATCGTGAGGGGGAATGTTTCTGCAGATACAGTAGAGAGAGTCTGTGAGAGAGACAGGCAGGCACTTAATCATACCTTACAAAAGCATAGCTCATTTTTTTGTGAATGAAATGCAGAACCTAGTTGAGGTGGGTCAAATCTGCTCTCTTTTGTGCAGACAAGTGTGTGCCTTTGGTGTGTTGTTCTCTTTGGATGGTTTTGGGCCGCAATCTCTCCCCATAGATAGTGGCATGATGAATTAAGTCTAACATCGGTAGTGACAAGCCTTAGATTGCCCTGAGCTTTCAGACGTGTCTGAATAACTCTGTTTTTCTTCTGGATAGAAAGGGGACTGCATGATGTGTCGATAAAACGCTCCAAACGTGCTTTGAAGTTTGACTTGACAGACCCTTTCTTGGTCTGGGATCACATAGATTCTGTGGTAATGAGTCAGTCTGTGGCTGCCTGATGAGATGAGTGTGAGTTGTGGTCTACAGCCCACTGGGTACAGGAGGTATCAAGAACACCAACGCACCACAGAAATGCAGCAAGAAGGTTGTCATTTATATTGTACATAAAACGGATTAATCTGCAAATTACAGTAGAATTGAATAACAGTATTAATGTTGTTTTCTAATTCTACAACAGTTACAATTCTTCACCTGTGCTCAGTCCTCCTTTTTGCTAAATTGTTGTTGGTGAAAAAACATGTTCACTTCCCCCTTTGTTCTCTGCATTAAACCATAGAAATGACATTTTAAGAGTAAATAAAAATCACTGTTGCTTCAGAACTCAATGGACCATATCTGCTGTTGTAAAAAAGATGCATAAAAAAGGGAGTCAGTCCAGGTTACAAACAAATGTTGGTGTTGTGCTGCCACACAGTGGTGGGAATGGTGAATGTCTTAAAGTAAGTTGTACTTTTGAATATAGACTTGGTAGATTTAGTCAAATATGTATTTCAAGCTTTCCGAGTATCATGGTGGTACAGTATAATGCTGGTTCATGAAATGTAGTAACAGTTTAAGGTTACAAAGACAGGAAATCATTTAATTTGAGTTAAAAAAATAAAAATAAACTCACAACATTTCTGCTGTTTCTTCAGGACCCCAGTGCCATGCCCAGACCCACTTCTCAGGACCTGGCTGGGTTCTGGGACCTCCTGCAGCTCTCCATTGATGACGTCACTGCCAAGTTTGATGAGCTGCAGCTGATCAAGAGCAACGGCTGGCAGCTGGTGGAGAGCCCAGAGAAGCAGGTACAACTGGGATTCAAACACATGATGATTAGTCCTAATGGGCTGCAGATGAACTCACTCAGCTTTTGAGAAAACTACAGTCACAACAATTGCCTTCTTTTTTTAGGTTTGTGACCAGTGGGGGGTTAATCATTCTCATCATAACACTGCAGGGACAATGTTAGGAGGCAACATCAGTTCAGCCTAAAACAGCTAGTAGCATCATCTCACATATTATATTAAAAATCCCCACATCAATTTAGGACAATATTATTGTAACGGAACACCATGTTTTTGGTCTGCGGTATGTTAGATAACTTTGTGAACAGTGGCAGTCAATGGCGCATGTTTCCCATAGTACACTTTGTACTATCCCTGAACACACATCAAACTTTTGTGCACAAACTTATCCCGTGCCCTCATTGGTCATGTGCGCGTTCGTGTGTGTTGGAGGAGGGGCTCTATAAGGAAGTAGCAGATTTTCTCCGGTCGTGTATTTTCAAATTCTAGCGATCTCGAGCCGGTTTCTCAAACTTACATACCCTCCTTTACTGTGAAATTACAGTTTTACAAATATGAACCAAAACATACACTGAACAAACATATAAATGCAACACTTTTGTTTTTGCTCCCATTTTTCATGAGATGAACTCAAAGATCTACAACATTTTCTATATACACAAAATAACCATTTCTCTCAAATATTGTTCACAAATCTGAAAAAAATCTGTGATAGTGAGCACTTCTCCTTTGCTGGCAAAGGAGAAGTGCTCACTATCACAGATTTTTTTCAGATTTGTGAACAATATTTGAGAGAAATGGTTATTTTGTGTATATAGAAAATGTTGTAGATCNCACCAGTGTCTAGACCCGGGGGGGTTCATCGGAAACGGTTCTTCCCTTCCCGAATGACATCCTACCAAACCTGGGCCTAATCGCCAAACACCATTTCATTCACTTTTTATAAACTGTCATCATTATGTTTCATTTATATAATGTGACCCGATAATAAACATGTATTTCATACATCACGTCTCTCCTGATTGAACTACTCTTATCTTAACTTTCACAGCCAAGGGACACTATTTTAATTTAACTACACATTTAAATAAACAGAGCACTTCCTTCACTTCCATGTTGTGTTCCATTCTTGCTTATGTACACACTTTTAGACCTTAAAGGTAGGGTATGTAAGTTTGACAAACCGGCTCGAGATCGCTAGAATTTGAAAATACACAACCGGAGAAAATCTGCCACTTCCTTATAGAGCCCCTCCTCCAACACACACGAACGTGCACATGACCAATGAGGGCACGAGACAAGTTTGTGCACAGATGGAAGGCTGACAGGCAGGTAGGCCATCCAGTTACTTTAGCCGGGCCGGCTCAGATGATTGGTCGTGCTTTTTACAGTATTACGGCTTCCACAGATGACATTTTTTTATGGATTTTTTGTCAAAGCACTTCAGATATT